ATCTCTGTCTCTGCTGTCTCTCTCTTTCTCTCTCTATATGTGTCTCCCCTGTCTCCCTTTGTCTCTGTGTCTCTGTATGTCTGTCTCCAATGTCTCTCTTTTTCTCTGTCTCTGTGTCTCTGCATCTCTGTCTCTGCTGTCTCTCTTTTTCTCTGTGTCTCTGTGTGTCCCTGTCTGTCCCTGTGTGTCCATCTTTCTCTGCTTCCTTCTGTCCCTCTCCCTCTCCTCCTCCTCTGTATCTCTGTCTCTCTCTCTTTTCCTGTGTCTCTGTGTGTCTCTGCATGCCTGTCTCTGCTGTCTCTCTTTTTCTCTGTGTCTCTGTGTGTCCCTGTCTGTCCCTGTGTGTCCATCTTTCTCTGCTTCCTTCTGTCCCTCTCCCTCTCCTCCTCCTCTGTATCTCTGTCTCTCTCTCTTTTCCTGTGTCTCTGCATCTCGGTCTCTGCTGTCTCTCTCTTTTTCTCTCTATATGTGTCTCCCCTGTCTCCCTTTGTCTCTGTGTCTCTGCATGTCTGTCTCTACTGTCTGTCTGTCTCTTTTTCTCTGTGTCTCTGTTTGTCTGTCTTCACTGTCTCTCTTTTTCTCTGTCTCTGTGTGTCTCTGCATCTCTGTCTCTGCTGTCTCTCTCTCTCTATATGTGTCTCCCCTGTCTCCCTTTGTCTCTGTGTCTCTGTATGTCTGTCTCCAATGTCTCTCTTTTTCTCTGTCTCTGTGTCTCTGCATCTCTGTCTCTGCTGTCTCTCTTTTTCTCTGTGTCTCTGTGTGTCCCTGTCTGTCCCTGTGTGTCCATCTTTCTCTGCTTCCTTCTGTCCGTCTCCCTCTCCTCCTCCTCTGTATCTCTCTGTCTCTCTCTCTTTTCCTGTGTCTCTGTATCTCTGTCTCTCTCTCTTTTCCTGTGTCTCTGTATCTCTGTCCCTGTCTCTCTTTCTCTCCGTCTCTTTGTCTCTCGGTCTCTGTTTCCCTGTAGTTGAATTTAAAGTCACAGTTAGAATTTAGTTTAAGCTTCTGGTAAGAGATGGGAGAGCGCTTTTGGGGGGCCAGGGGCGAGTGGGGCCCCCCACTTAGCCTGTCCCCGAGACAGAGTCCGGTTTTTACAGAAGAACCACCTCCGTTTCTTACCCAGAAACTCTCAGCAAACACAATGTCTTTGGCATAGAAGAAAACGGTTCCCGCGTTGGACACGAATTATTTCAAAGCCGACCGTCCGCCGTGGGACTTAAAAGTCGGGGTCCCGAGGAAAGAGGGGGTTTGCTTTTCCTCTGAGGACGTTCTTAGATGTCTGAAGAGCCGCAGCTCCTTTGTGGCAGCATCCCTGGCGTCCTTCCCGGAGGGAGACCCCGGCACGGTGGAGTTTCCTTGGTGGCAGTGTGTCTGGGCTGCAGGCCGTCCCCTGCTGAGGGACCTCGGGCCTGGGAAGGCCAGGGCCCCACTGCACCCCTGGGAAAGTCCGGTCCTGGGAGTCGCAGGAGGCCCCTGAGCTGGGAGGAGGGAGGGTTTTTGGGAGGCAGCCAGAGGGCAGCTGTGAGGGGCTCCCTGTGCCATCCCTGGGGACCCAGCTTCACAGCAGGTGGACACGCGGGGACACCTTCGGGAGCAGAAAAGTTATCTGGGCTCGGGGGACCCCGGAAGGCGGCTGTAGCGCAGAGACTGTTCTCTGGATCTCTCTGTCTCTCTCTCTGCTGTCTCTGCATCTCCGTGTCTCTGCCTGTCTCTCGCTCCTTCTGTCTCTGTGTCTCTGTCTCTGCATCTCCGTGTCTCTCCCTGTCTCTCTCCATCTGTCTCTGTGTCTCTGTCTCTGCATCTCCGTGTCTCTCCCTCTCTCTCGCTCCTTCTGTCTCTGTGTCTCTGTCTCTGCATCTCCGTGTCTCTCCCTGTCTCTCTCCATCTGTCTCTGTGTCTCTGTCTCTGCTGTGTGTCTTTCTCTGCGTCTCCCTGTCTCTGTTTCTCTCCTTCTGTCTCTGTCTCTGTCTCTGTCTCAGCATATCCATGTCTCTCTCACTGTCTCTCTTTCTCTCCTGTCACTGTGTCTCTGTCTCTGCTGTCTCTGTGTCTCTCCCTGTCTCTCTCCATCTGTCTCTGTGTCTCTGTCTCTGCTGTGTGTCTTTCTCTGTGTCTCCCTGTCTCTGTTTCTCTCCTTCTGCCTCTGTCTCTGTCTCAGCATATCCATGTCTCTCTGACTGTCTCTGTGTCTCCTTCTGTCTCTGTGTCTCTGTCTCTGCATCTCTGTGTCTCTCCCTGTCTCTCTTTCTCTCCTTCACTCTCTGTGTCTCTGTGTCTGCTGTCTCTGTGTTTCTCTGTATCTCCATGTCTCTTTCTGTCTCTGTTTCTCTCCTTCTGTCTCTGTGTCTCTGTCTCTGCATCTCTGTGTCTCTCCCTGTCTCTCTTTCTCTCCTTCACTCTCTGTGTCTCTGTCTCTGCTGTCTCTGTCTGTGTATCTCCATGTCTCTGTTTCTCTTTCTCTCCTTCACTCTCTGTGTCTCTGTCTCTGCATCTCTGTGTCTCTCCCTGTCTCTCTTTCTCTCCTTCTCTGTCTCTGTGTCTCTGTCTCTGCTGTCTCTGTCTCTCTCTGTATGTCCATGTCTCTTTCTCTCCTTCTGTCTCTGTGTCTCTGTCTCTGCATCTCTGTGTCTCTCCCTGTCTCTCTTTCTCTCCTTCTCTGTCTCTGTGTCTCTGTCTCTGTGTCTCTGTCTCTGTGTCTCTGTCTCTGTGTCTCTGTCTCTCTCTGTATCTCCATGTCTCTCCCTGTGTCTCTTTCTCTCCTTGTGTCTCTGTGTCTCTGTCTCTGTGTCTCTGTCTCTGCATCTCTGTGTCTCTCCCTGTCTCTCTTTCTCTCCTTCACTCTCTGTGTCTCTGTCTCTGCTGTCTCTGTCTGTCTCTGACTTACACACGGCCCCAAACACACTTTCAGTCACGTCCCCCCCCCCACCCACCGCCTTCCCGCAGTGGAGGACGCGCCCTGGGGTGCTGGGAGGACGAGGAGGAGCAGGGAGACTCCCGCCTGCCCCCCGTCAGCATCCCGCCACCCGCCCCCCGGGCCCCCGCACACCCTCCTGGCCTCTGCTCCAGGACGAAGACCCGCGAGGCGACTCTGCATAATACATGTGACTATTTGTCATTCTCTGTGATACTGTGATATGTGGCGGCCCCGGCTTTGATGGGACGTCCCTGTGACACGGACCTGTTTGTCACGGAGTTGGGGGGAGTTGGGGGGGGTTCCTTTGCCTTTGCTTTTGAAGTCTACCCCGGACCTGGCCTTCTCCAGATCACGGGGATCCGCAGGCCGGGCCCGGCCGGTGCCCATTTGGGGTGGGCAAGAGGTGCCGGCTGCCAGGCCCGGATTCCCCGGAGGAGGAAGGGGGAGGGAAGGGACAGGCAGAAACAGGGAGGCAGATGGAAGGGGAGTGACGTGGGGGGGCGCAGAGGGAAGGGGGAAGACGGAGGGGGAGAAGGAGGGGGGGAAAGGCAGAGGCTGAGGAAGGAGGGACGGAGGGAGAGAGAAAGGGAGGAAGAGAGGAAGGAAAGAGGGACGTGGAGGGGGAGGGAGATGGAGGGGACAGGGAGGGAAAGGAGGGAGGAAGAGGGACAGGGAGGAGGGGGAGGAAAAGGAGGAGGGAGGATGTGAGGAGGAGGGAGAGAAGGGGGGCAGGGGTCTGGGGGGACAGAGAGAAACAGGGAGGGAAGGAAGAGGGGAGGAATAGAGGGTTGGGGGGAAGCCTCTGGAATAAAGGGAGGCACAGAGAGGGAGGGAGGAAGGAAGGAAGGAAGGAAGGAAGGACATGGAGGGGGAAAAAGACGGAAGGAACAGGGAGGGAAAGGAGGGAGGAAGACGGACAGGAAGGAGGACGGGGGGCAGAGGAGGAGGGAGGACGTGGGGAGGAGGGAGAGAGGGGCAGGGGTCTGGGGGGGGACAGAGGGAAACAGGGAGGGGGACGGGGGGCAGAGGAGGAGGGAGGACGTGGGGAGGAGGGAGAGAGGGGCAGGGGTCTGGGGGGGGGGACAGAGGGAAACAGGGAGGGAAGGAATACAGGGTTGGGGGGAAGCCTGTGGAATAAAGGGAGGGACAGAGAATGAGGAAGGAAGGAAAGAAGGAAGGAAGGAGGGAGGAAGGAAAGAAGGACATGGAGGGGGAGAAAGATGGAAGGGACAGGGAGGGAAAGGAGGGAGGAAGAGGGACAGGGAGGAGGACGAGAGGCAGAGGAGGAGGGAGGACATGGGGAGGAGGGAGAGAGGGGCAGGGGTCTGGGGGGGGACAGAGGGAAACAGGGAGGGAAGGAAGAGGGAGGGAATAGATGGTTGGGGGGGGAAGCCTGTGGAATAAAGGGAGGAAGACAGAGGGAGGAAGGAAGGAATGAATGAAGAAATGAAGGAAAGAAGGAATGAGGGAGGGAGGGAGAAAAGAAACAGGAGAAGACGGAGGGAGGGATGGATATGGAGGAAGGAAGGGGGGGAACAAGGACGGTTATTTCTCCAGCTCCTCAGCTCCTCCTCCTCCCCTCAGCGCGCGACCCCCCCAGTTTACGGGGCACCCTCACCTGAACCTGACCGGCGCTGCTGGGGACCCCTTCCCTGCGCCCTGGGGTCGGGGAAATACGGCCTCCATTCTTTCCGCTGCAGGAGACCAGGGCCCCGGCTCCCGGGCGCCAACGCTGCGCGCCTCGAACGGGGTGTCTCCCCGAAACCCGCAAAAGAGCTTCTCGCCCCAGCCCCCCAAAAAAGTCTCACGTTCCCCGGGACCCTCCCCAGCTCCAAACGCGAAGGGCGAGTGGGGAAGATGAGGGCATTTTACAGGGTAAAAAAAAAAAAAAAAAAAAGAAGAAGAAGAAAAGAAATGAGGGAAAAAGAGAGAGAAAAAAAATCTCAACTTTATTTGGTTTCCAGGACTTGGAAAAGGAATTTCAGCTCGCGGAGGCGAACCCCGGCTTCCACTGCAGGGTCACCCCGCCAGGAAAGCCGAAAACACAAAGTATATATATATAAAATGTGCTCCCCAATAAATATCCTACACGCCGGGGTGTCAGCGCGGCGCTAAGTGGGGGCGGCGGCCTCGATCCGGGGTCTGCCGGGGTCTGGTAGAAACGACCCGGTCTGCACGAAACTCTCCTCCCGGGGATCCGAGCTCCTTTCTGCGGGCGCTGCAGACCCGGGAGGCGGCCGCGCGGATCCTCAGCGCTCGGGTCCAGGTTTGGGGACACCGGGCCCCGTTCCTTCTTCTCACTTGGAGTTGGGGTCCTTCGGGCGCTTTCCATGTCACCCGCGCTCCCCGTGTTCCGACGGGGCCTCCGCCGGGTTCTCCATCCCTCCGTGGAAACGCGCGCAGCAGCCTCCAACTTCCCAAATCCGGGGTCCCTGCGCGCCCCGGTCCCCTCTCCCTCTCCGCCTTTGGAAAGGTGGGTGGGTGGGGGGCGGTTCTTGGAAAGGTCCAGGCGCCGGGCTCTGCGCTCCTCCCCTGGAATAGACGGTGGGGTCGGGGGGGGGGAGGGCGCGGAACGGTTGGGACCTTCGTCTCTCCAGCCCCTGGAAGTCCTGGTCCACTTTGCTTTTGCGCCGCAGCCACGGAGGAAAGAGAAACGCGGGGACCTGTCTTGGGGGGCTCTGTCGGTGCGCGCACTCTCCCTGCACACCCCCCCACCCCCCCAAAAAAAAAAACCACGCAACAAAACCGGGATCTTTACCTCTTTGCACCTCTTTGAGCGGACGCCAAACGGTGATGAAATGACAAGAATCCCAATTGCCGGCCTTGGGGAGGGTGGGGGAGACACCGCGGTCCCTGCGTGCGTCCGCCTCGGAGCCGAGACACCCGTAATTGCTCCAGACAGGCGGCGCGCGGGGGGCTGGGCGAGGTCGGCGCGTATAAATAGCGAGATTTCCAATGGAAAGGCGTAAATAACAGGTCTGGAGATCCACCCGCGCGCGCACGGGCCGCCTTCGTCCCTCCTCCGCGCGGGGACACGCGCGCACCCACCGGCCCCCGCGTCTCCAAAGCTTCCCGGAGTCCTCCCCGCGCAGATTCCTCCCGGCCGGCCTCAGCCATGGAAGAGCTCACGGCTTTTGTATCCAAATCTTTCGACCAGAAGAGCAAGGACGGGAACGCGGGAGGCGGAGGAGGCGGCGGCGGCTGCGGCGGGAAGAAGGATTCCATCACCTACCGCGAAGTTTTGGAGAGCGGACTGGCGCGCTCGCGGGAACTGGGGACGTCGGATTCCAGCCTCCAGGACCTCACGGAGGGCACCGGCCACTGCCCCGTGCATTTGTTCAAGGAGCACGTAGACAACGAGAAGGAGAAGCTCAAGGAATTTGGCACCGCGCGCGTGGGGGAAGGTAAGCTCCTCCGCGCGCCCCGAGGCTTTCCCCGGGGGTCCCCTTCCCGGGGTTCGGAGCCGCCTCGCCCCACGGAGTCGGCCGGCGGGCGCCTCGCTCCCCACATTTACAGCTCCCCGGGTCGGAGGACAAGGCCCCGAGGCCAGGATTTTCCTAAGAAAGAAACGAAGGCAGGACTGGAGCCCGTTGGAGGAGCTGGGAGGTGTCCACGGTGGGAGTCCCGGGTGCAAGGAGGGTGGGAGCTGGGGCCGCGCGCGCTGCCCGCCGCAGACTCGAACCCCCTCGCACCCTGGGCGCAGACACGGGGCTGGGGTGGATCCTGGCGGCCGTGGGGCCTGCTGTGAACACACATATATACGGATTTTGGAGGCACAGTCTCTGCCTGTCGCCCAGGATGGAGCGCAGTGGCGCGATCTCGGCTCACCGCAACCTCCTCCTCCCGGGTTCAAGCGATTCTCCTGCCTCAGCCTCCGGAGTAGCTGGGATCCTCAGGCACCCACCACCACGCCCGGCTAGTTTTTCTGTGTTTTTAGTAGAGACCGGGTTTCAACACGTTGGCCAGGCTGGCCTCGAACTCCTGACCTCAAGTGCTCAGCCCGCCTCGGCCTCGCAAAGTGTTAGGGTTCCAGGGTTGAGCCGCTCCGAGCGCAGCCGAGGGCCTGGCGTCTATAAGGCTGTGGGTTTCTGTCTCAGTGCCCCTGTGTCTGTGGCCTGAATCTAACGTCACCCACGCGGAAAGAGGACGTCTGTGCCCACCCGGGACAGCGGGTTACACTCCAGGCTGCGTGGGGGAAACAGGCGGAAAGGCCCCCATGTATCTGCCTCCTTCCCTTTCCTTTAAGGAACAATTTCTTCTTCTTATTATTATGATTTTTTTTTTTTTTTTTTTTTTTTTTTCTCTTTGATCCTGGAGGCTGGATCTCGGTGAAAGCTGTTGTGTAAATTAAAACCAGTCTGGTGCCCGCAGGTGGCCGGGATCTGGATGGGGCTTGAGGGCGCCCCCGGGAAGCTGGTGGATTCGAGGCCCCGTCCTACTCCAGGCTGTCAGCGCGCAGCCGGGTTTCAGGCAGCCCGGCGGACCCTGGGGGGGACTGGGGGGGGGCGGGGGGAGGGTTCCCCTCCAGCTGTTGTTCCAGAAACCTCCGTGGGAGATGTCCCCGTGGTGGAAACCGGGCTGGGACAGGCCGTGTCTATACCCCGACATGTCCCCTCCACAAACACACCCAACCCGTCTCTGTAAAGCTCAAGAACGAAACGAGCGCAAAGTGTCAGGGTCACAACTGCAGAGGACCATTGAGAGCTATTATTTTTCATTACAAAGAGAGAGAGAGAGAGAGAGAGAGAGAGAGAGAGAGAATCTAATCTCCGCTGATGGATTCCCAGAGGTGGGAGGTTGGAGGGGAGGGTGAATTTCCCCCCCGAAGGTAATTTCTCCGAAGACTCTGGGGCGACCTGCTCTGCTGGGGCCTACATTTCGGGTGCGGGTGGGAGAGTTTTGTGGGGGGGGGGTGATCGGTGGCCTCGCCGGGGTCCGGGGTGACCAGACAGGGTCCCCAGGCCTTGAGCTTGTGAAGGCAGAACCCGGGTTATGAATTATCAATCAGTCGTCGGTGGCCGGGAGGCCACGCGGGCAGTTCGTGCCGCGCGCACCCAGCCCTGGTGAGTCATACAAAGGCTGAGCTGCAGAGTTTTAGGGCCTGAGATCCGTGTCAGACGTTTCCGTGGGTCCGACGGCCCGTTTTGCGGGATTCCTTTTTTTTTTTTTTTTTTTTTGAGACGGAGTTTCGCTCTTGTCACCCAGGCTGGAGTGCAATGGCGCAATCTCGGCTCACCGCAACCTCCGCCTCCTGGGTTCAGGCAATTCTCCTGCCTCAGTCTCCCCAGTAGCTGGGATTACAGGCGCGCGCCACCGTGCCCAGCTGATTTTTTTTTTTGTATTTTTAGTAGAGACGGGGTTTCACCGTGTTGACCGGGATGGTCTCGATTCCTTGACCTCGTGATCCACCCGCCTCGGCCTCCCAAAGTGCTGGGATGACGGGCGTGAGCCAATTTCCTCCTCTGGCCTCTGTCTTCTTCCCCACATGGCACCACAGCGAAGTGTCCTCCAGGCCTTTTGAAAGCGGAAAATAAGAATTGAGGGACCCAGGAGAGGACAGGCAGTGAGTGCCCCCACCTCCCCTTTCCCCTTGACTGGGCAGGGACAAGACCCCATCAGCGCTGTGTCCCGTGCTGGAGGTAAATGGAGGTTGGAGAGTCGGGGGAGCACTCCCGGGCACCCACCCGTGGAATCCCGTGGCTTTTGCAAAGCCCGCAGGACGCTGCTTGGAGCCTCCGAAGCCCAGTTTCCCAGCTGGCCTCCATCACTGGGGTTCATAAGAGAAATGAAGGAGGAAGCTCCAGGGCCAGCTCCAGGGAAAAGGATTCCGGGTGGGGAAAGGAACGCCGTGTTCTTGGAAGCACGTGCGTCTTACGAGGCCAAAGGGAATCTGAAGTCCACGCTGGAAACAGGGGCCGGCGCTGAATTCCAGCTCGCGGGAGGCCCTGGGGTGGGTGGTGGAAGGAAGACGCAGAACGCGCCGCCGGCCTTTACCAGGTTCCCCTTGACGCACGTGGGATTTGTGAGGTTTGCAAGTTTGTGGGTGACCCGGGGGGCCTCTGAGACTGTTTCGAGGCTCAACTTGCAAATGGCAACGTGTTAACCCTTGACACCAGCCTGGGCCACGCGGGGCTCTTCCTCTGCGCCCAGCAGGCCCGGAGATGGGAACAGACGGGCGCTGGAGGAGCCGCTTTCACCAGCGCTGGGTCGATGAAGGGCATGGCGAGGCTCTGGATGTGTAATATTAGGAAGAAAACGCTTTTTGGCTGGAAACGCCCGACAGCGGACTTTTCATGCCCTTCCCTGTCCCGCAGCAAATAAAAGCAGGTCACCTTTTTTTTGGAGGGGACGCAGGGCCATTTCTGGCACCCTGGTGGGGTGGGTGCGCGACCGACAGCACATACCTGGGAAAGAGGGATTTCTTCCAACGGGGTTCGAGTCCCAGGTCGCGGAGGTGCGTTCCCCATGGGCGGTGGGGTTCAGCTGTTCTGGTGACAAACAGTTTCCGTGAGGAGGGGGCTTTCCTAGCTCGGCCAGACCCCGGAGGGACCCCCGCACCCCCACGCCCAGCTGCGCTGCAAACGGGCATAGCGTCTGTAGAATCCGCAACCTGCCCGTCCCGTTCCCGGGCGTCCCGCCGGGGACCCCACAGTCGTCAACTCTTCCTAAAAAAAAAAAATAATAATAATAATAATTTTCTTTAAAAGTAGGATTTGACACCCCAGTCTCCTTTAAAATAATAATAATTAAAAAAAAGGTTAGGTTATGTCAACAGACTAGAAGTGGATAATTGAGGAAACGATTTGGAGGAGAGGAGGCCAAGGAAACAAGGTTCTTATCCAAAAAAGCGCCTTTTGCCGCGTGGGGGATACGCGGGCCCTGCGTAAAGGCGCATCGGGTTTTCGGGGTACCCCGTGTCCACCGCGGGACACGCGTGGCGCGGAAATAACACCCACCCAGTGATGCGCGCTCGGTGCCAGGTGGTGTGCGCCCTGGAGCTTGGGGGGGCGGTGGGCGCGCGCGCTCGCGCTGGCGGAGGGGAACCCCGGGAGGGTTTGGAGAGGCGCCCCCCGGCCTGAACCCCGCGCCCCCCGGCCGCCACGCAGGGATTTACGAATGCAAAGACAAACGCGACGACGTGAAGTCGGAGGACGAGGACGGGCAGGCCAAGCTGAAGCAGAGGCGCAGCCGCACCAACTTCACCCTGGAGCAGCTCAACGAGCTGGAGCGGCTGTTCGACGAGACGCACTATCCGGACGCCTTCATGCGCGAGGAGCTGAGCCAGCGCCTGGGGCTCTCGGAGGCGCGCGTGCAGGTAGGAACCCCGGGGTTGGGGGGGTACCCGCGGGGCGCACCGGCTGCTCCAACTGCGCCCTGGTCACCGCCGGGGGCCCTGCCCGGAGCGCGCGGAGCTGGGGCGCGCGGGGCGCGCGGGGTGCGCGGGGTGCACGGCCTTGGGGAGACGCCTGTGGCCTTTGGGGTGCCGTATCCCCGGGGTTTGTCTGCGCGAAGCTCCAACTGCGCCCTGGTCACCGCCGGGGGCCCTGCCCGGAGCGCGCGGAGCTGGGGAGCGCGTGGCGCGCGGGGTGCGCGGCCTTGGGGAGACGCCTGCGGGCTTTGGGGTGCCGTATCCCCGGGGTTTGTCTGCGCGAAGCTCCAACTGCGCCCTGGTCACCGCCGGGGGCCCTGCCCGGAGCGCGCGGAGCTGGGGCGCGCGGCCTTGGGGAGACGCCTGTGGCCTTTGGGGTGCCGTATCCCCGGGGTTTGTCTGCGCGAAGCTCCAACAAATACACGCACACGCACATATATGTATGTTATATGTTTCTGTTATGCAGACGCATGTTTGCCTTGAGAGTTGGGTGTGTGTCTCTTGTATGTTTGCATATGTGTATATACATATATTTGTTTGCTTTTAGCTGTATGTGTATATATACAAACGCATACACCGTAGTTCTATATATATAAACGCGTGTAAAATATATATTTATATATATGAAGTCATACCACAGTTTTATATATATATATATATAAAGGCATTTAAAAAATATCTGTTTATATACATAAAGGCAGACAACATAGTTATATATACATAAAGGCATAGAAAATATATATTTATA